CGAATGCCGCCAAACCCAATCCCAGGGGCTGTCGTCCAGCAGAGGGGGCAGGAATGGGAGGTTTGAGGGACCCAGACCTAGGATCCCAGGAAGCGGCCAGTGGCAGCCGCAGGGATGAATGCAGACGAGACGGCATCTCTCGATACCCAAACGAGACGGCATCCATGTTTCTGAGTCGTTCTGCTGCTTTCAGGATGACGCCAGAGAATCCCCCCTTTTCCTGATCAGAACTGCCCCCCAAATCCTCTGACAGGCAGAAGGGGGGGCTGGGCCAAACGGGGGTGACGCACGTGGCAGCGTGCCGGGAAAGTGATCTAGTGTGGAACGCCAGGGTAAGGTGATGCCAATGCAAACCACAGAGAGCCCGGGGTGGGGTGGGGGGGTGGCTCTAACCCACCAGCTATTACAGGTGGGACATTGAGAAGCACTAGGCCTTGTGCCCCGTGGGTACATCCAGGGAATGCCTGGATAGGCTGCTAACAATGGCAGAGTAGCGTGGGCAGAGGACCAGACTGCCCACAAACCCGCCCCGAGGGGACCTGCTCGGGGGAGAGGGGACAAGACCCAGCACTGCCAGGAAGCCGCGGGGGCTGCCAATGCTTGGGAGAGCCACCCGAGGATGCCAGGATCAGCTCGGCTTCCCCATATGGGCAACCTGGGCAGGTGGCACCTGTGTCTGCGCAACGCCTGGCCCAGGGTAGCCCCCTGGCCGTGCTCGGAGGTTCGCGAGCAGCGGCTCCCGCGGGCAGGTAGAGGCCTGGGAGCTGGGACTGAGCAGCAGTCCGTGTGCCGGGGAGCAGCTGGGCCAGGAGACAGAAAAACACCTTGGGGGGGGGAGGAGGAGATTTCCCTTTTTCTTTTGTGCGTTGGAAAGATGAAAATTGTTGCTAAAATGTTTTAATTTGGGGATTTTCTTTTAGTGTTTAAAAAAAAAATACAAAATCATCTTTTTTGAAAACTGATTTTTTTTATTTCCGGATTTTTTGTTGGGGGAAGAGAAGAGGAAAGAGAAAATGTTGAGGGATATGGGGAGGAAACCCCCAAATATTTTTACCATTTCCCTAGACGATTTGGAACTTCTGGGGCGAGCTGGGGGAAACTTTTTCAATGAACAATAAATTCACCAAAAATGCATTTTTCCCGCCACCCCCAGGCACTAAAACTATTTGCAAATTTGGGTCGAATTCAGTGAATAGTTTCAGCTGAAAAAAATTCCATATTTTCCTAAAGACGTCAAAACTGTTTCATCCATTTTGAAATGAAACCTTTCAAGTTTTTGTTTGGTGATGGTATGTCATTTAGAACGGTAGCAAATTGAAACCAAAAAAAGGGAAAAAACACCCCCCCCCCCCCAAATTATTTTGTAACAAACAAAATGTTTCATTTGGCTTAAAACAAACAAATATTTGGTGAAGAAAAACTGGACACGTTCAGATTGGGTTCAAATTGAAACAATTTTTTTTCTTTTTCTTTTTCAGTTTGTCCCCCCCCTCCCCCCACCAATTGACAAATCAATTCACTTGGTTCTACTTCTGGGTTCTGTTCCTGGCGCTGGGAGGAAGTGTGAAGTCTGGTGGGAGGCCAATGGTCAGGACTCCTGGGTTCTGTTCCTTCTACTGACTGTGACCTTTGGGCAAATCTTTTCCCCTGGCTGTAGCATGGGGCTAAAAGTGGCCACCACCTGGTGGGTGGCATTGCGAGGGTTAATTTGTTAAGTCTGTACCATGCATTGGGACCCACTGGTAGCAAATACGTTAGCAATGCAGCTTACTGAAGATCTGATTTCTGGTTTTCTTTAGATGCTCTGCCAATGTCCACAATTTGCTATTCAGGGCGACATTGCTGGGTGTCGGCAAGCTCTGCAAACATGGACTAATCCTTGCAAACTCCCGGGAAGTCCGGGTGGGTTACCAAGCCAGCTGAGACCCAGAGCGAGTGGGTTTTTTTTGTTTTGCTGAGGATGCACGCCAGGCTCCCAGCCTGCTGCTTCCCCCACTAGACAACGCTGTCTCTGGTGTTTCTATGAGGTGGCGTGTGCGTGCCAGAGCTCTATCTGGGGCTTGGCGAGGGACTGCTCGTTAATTAGGTGCATGCTGCCACCCCGGTAGGGAGGCCAGAGGCAGAGCCTGCAGTCCAAGGAGACCAGGCAGACCAAGGAAGGACGATTACCCCGTTTTACCCGTGGGGAACTAGGGCACAGGCTTTGTCTTCGCTGACCCCAAAGTGCCCGGCGAGAGAGCAAGCAGGGGGAGTTCTGTCCCTGTGAAATGCTGCTGGAGACAGGGGGCATGTGGTGCGTGCGGCTTGAGAGCGTGAGGCCAGCTCCTGTTTCCACTGTGGTTTTGCAGCAATGTGGCTGAGTGAGTCAATGTCTCCCTTGGTTTTCTGTAGTGATGGCAACGCCCCAGAGCGCTGCAGTGACCTACCCACTGAGTGAAACCTCTGGCTCCTTGTTCAGCCCCTTAATTGTAGGGCCGCCTTCTTTGTCAGTAGGCTTTGAGGGGGTGCACAGAAGGTGGCCTGGGGCTAGCGTGCTAGTGTCTGTGTGTGCCCATAGGCCGTGGAGCTGGGGCGGGGCGGGGAGGCACCCAGCCTGTGGCCTGACCAGTGTTTAGCATGTCCATGAGATCAGGTAGCCACCCGGCCGGTTTTGGACTGACGGGGCCGGTTTTGGACTGGCCCACCTGGTTTTTGTACTCTCTGGCCAGCCTCGAGATGTCATTTGCTGGCGGGTTTTTTTGCCGGGTGCCTGTGCAGCTGCGAGCACAGAGATCGGGCGAGTAGGAGCTGCACACATCACGGCCGGGGGCGTGCCGGGACTGGCACCCAGATCCTGCTCTGCCAGAGGAGCAGGCCAGGTCCTCACCTGCCACCTGCCAAAACCAGGGCAGCTCCTCTCCGTTCCAGGGCCAGCTGGGAAGGGGGCGGACCCGTCACCCAAGGGGTAAGGTGAGGAAGGGGCAGGGAGGGACAGCAGAGGAGCTCCCTCGAGGACTGAGACTCCAGGAAGGGGGTGGGTGCAGGGGTTACTGGGCCATGGGGGATGAGGCTGCTGGGGGGGGGAGGTGGGGATGGGGCAAATCTACACCCCACTTTAAATGGTGCTCTGCAGCTCCCCCCACTTCTCCCATGTGAGACCATTAGGGCATGATGAGCATAGCTGCTGTGATCGGGTGTCTGATGGTGGAAGAAGAAAGAAGCTGATTCAGAAAGGAAAAGGTCTACATGTACAACTGTGCGTGTGTGTGTAGCAGAGCACAAAGTGTGAAACCACACACTAGGAAGGCAGCCGATGGTGCTAATTTAAAATCTCCTTTCAGTGCAACGCAAGCCGCGCTCTGGTCCAGGCTGATGAGGGACACACCAGGAGCTGCTTTGACCAAAGCACCCTCCTGAAAGGCATTGGCTGCGGTTGGCATTTGCTGCAGCCTTTTAAACCTTGAACAAAACAGAGAAGAGCCTAGACTGTCACTGCTGCCGCTGATCAGTTTTTAAATCCCTGGAGCGCTCTCCCCTCAATGTCCTGGTCATCCCTCGAAGCCGTACCGGGCCTCTGTTGGGTGCAGGAGAAATGAGACTCTTTGATCCCACTTCCTCCTCCCCATTTGCAGTCAGAAACGGGCAGGTAAAGCCAGTTTTGCTCTGTGTAGACTCACGAATCCTCCTACGCTGGCGAGGGTCGGTGACTGCGACGGGTGGCGTCCCTGGGGCAGAAGCAGCAGCGTCACCGGTCTTCTCAGCCGCAGGGATGGGCGAGGGAATGAATTGCTGGCTTTTCCTGGCTTTGGGGCTAGTGACTGGAGCCCCAGACAGGCCGCCTCTGGACCTGAGCTAAGTGAAGCTGAGCCTGCCTCGACCCACCAGGTAGCTCGCTGTCCTTGTGGGGCACCTTGCTTCTGCACAGACGGGGTCCTGCGGCTAGCGTGCTAGTGTCTGTGTGTGCCCATAGGCCGTGGAGCTGGGGCGGGGGGATTGCAGTGGGGGAGACGCAAGGGGGCCTGATCCGAAGCAAGTCTCTCCGTTGAGCTCATTGGTCTTCCTGGCTGACCCTAAGTGGCTGTTGGGTGCTGTGGGGCAAGCTGCTGCCACAGCCCCATCCGGTCTAGGAAGCAAAGGATTCTAGGGGTCTAGAATGCCAGGTTCCCATGCCAACGCCGAGCAGTAACCAGGCTGGCGGGGACACCTTGCATCCCCTGGGATGTCCAGTCCCTGACGGGTGTGTCTGTGCTTACAGTATGAAAGGAGGGTGGAGTCTAAAGTGTGTGTGTGTGTGTGTGTGTGTGTGTGTGTGTGCACCGTTGCCTTCTATTGGGTGGAACCGGAACCCCTAGACTGTGTGTCATAGGGCCTATACTGCTTCATGGAGCTTCTCCCTTAGTCTAGGTGGGAGGAGGAGCTGCCTTCTGCCCCCGGCGTTGCCGTGACGTTCTGCAGGGTGCCCTGGTCATGATGTCCAGGGTGTGCAGTACATTTTCCCCCAGGTGTGTTGGGAATCTGATTTCCAAATCCCTGCAGCAATGGAGCGACGTCTAATTCCCGGCACTTATTGTGAGCTACTCTCCTAAGCTGATCGGCGGGGGCGGTGGGAATGGAGAAATGCCCCGAACTGGTGTTCGTGCAGTCGCCTTTTCTCACCCTGCCCATCCACCCCTCGAGTAAACAGTCAGGGGCTGTTGCTGGGAAGCGGGTGGGGATGCCAGTCTGCAGGGGATGCCAGGCTGGCTTTAGCAGCCAGGCTTTCCATCAATGACGGTGGTTGCTTGGCACCTCTGAAAATCCGGCCGCTTCAAATCAGGTGCCTAAAAATGGCTTTTGGAGTCGAGCTTTGGGGCCAGGCTCTAACCGAGGGGAGAGGAGTGGAGAGAGGAGCCCAGGGGATGCAGGGCAGCCGGCTCGGGCAGCAGGAGGTGCTTGCGCCCCCAGCAGGGCAGGGATGGGGCGAATGGTTGGAGGTGCAGCCGTGTGTTGGTTCTCAGCTCCCATCTCTGTCTCTCTTGCAGAGGAAGATGCTGTCCCGCCGGGGCTGCAAACCTGAGGTCCTCATCCTGACCGTGGTGGGGATCGGCGGCCTCCTCTTCCTCTTCGTGACCAACGAGGGCGAGCACGTGAGGAAGGCTGTCACAAGAGTCAGCAGTACCAGCCCCTCCACCCCCACGCCCGGCGTCCCCACCACCCCGCGTCACGTCCCCGAGTGCAAGGAGAACTCCTCGGTGGCCGACATCTCCGGCTTCGCCGACCTGCCCGGCCACATCCAGGACTTCCTGCGCTACAAGCACTGCAAGGAATTCCCCCAGCTGCTGGACGCCCCCGACAAGTGCGGGGGGGCCGAGGGCTCCCCGGGGGTCTTCCTCCTCCTGGCCATCAAGTCGTCGCCCGGGAATTACGAGCGGCGGGAGATCATCCGCAAGACCTGGGGGGAGGAGAGGACGTACCAAGGGGTCCGGATCCGCAGGCTCTTCCTCTCCGGGGAGGCGGGGGATGCGCGGGAGGCCTGGAAGCTGAACCGGCTGCTGCGGCTGGAGGCGGCGGAGCATGGGGACGTGCTGCAGTGGGCGTTCCTTGACAGCTTCTTCAACCTGACCCTCAAGCAGGTGCTGTTCCACGGCTGGCTGGAGGCCCGCTGCCCCGGCGCCCGCTTCCTCTTCAACGGGGACGACGACGTCTTCGCCAACACGGACAACGTGGTGCAGTACCTGCTGGGCATGCGGGGCGCCAACGACGGCGACGGGCACCTCTACGTGGGGCAGCTGATCGCCAACGTGGGCCCCATCCGCGAGAAGTGGAGCAAGTACTACGTGCCCGAGCAGGTCACCGCCACCAACTCCTACCCGCCCTACTGCGCGGGCGGCGGAGTGCTCATGTCCGGCTTCACCGCCCGCACCATCTACAAGGAGTCGCTGGGCATCGAGCTCTTCCCCATAGACGACGTCTACCTGGGCATGTGCCTGCAGAAAGCCGGGCTGGCCCCGGCCTCCCACATGGGCATCCGGACCGTGGGCGTCAGGGTGCCCTCCTCCAAGCTGGAGTCTTTTGATCCCTGCTACTACAAGGAGTTGCTGCTGGTGCACCGCTTCGTGCCCTACGAGATGCTGGTGATGTGGCGGGCCATTCACGAGCCGGACCTGCACTGCGGGAAGAAGCTGCAAGTCTATCAGAGTGTCTGAGCGGACCCTGGAATCCGAGGGGAGGGGGCACCGGGGAGGGATGTAATGCGAGGTTGAAGGTGCTAGGGCATCGGCGGGTGATGCCGCCCATCTAGGTCTTCGCTGCTGTGCCCCGAATGCTCCAGACCCATCACCTCTTTCTTGCTCTTGAGGCCTATTCCAGGAAGTCCCGGCTCCAGGGGGCGGGACTTCCAGGAACGAGCCTCAGCAGGACTTACGGTTGACGCTCGGTTGGCTAGCATGCATGAGGTGCACAGAGATGCTGAACGGCTCACTGGCTTCTGGTCCTGTCCCAACTGGTTTGGCCCATTTGCCATTCTTGGGATATCAGAAGCTTTTCCCACAGCTCCTCCCTTCCCCGTGGCGGCGATAAGCATTTCGAGCTGCTGCAGGGATCCCTTTGGGGCGGCTACCTCCGAGAAAGCAACTGCCAGAAGGCCGCCAGACCAGCGTCTCTCTGGGGTGGAGGGGGGAATTTCTGCCTCCTTGACTAACGGGCACATTGCCACCTGGGTGCCCGAATCCTGGGGCAGGATGTCACTGGCTTGGATGATGCCTGGATCTTGGCCCGGACGCTGCGTCTCTGGGGCCGAAGGTCCAAACGCAGCAGGAAATGGGTAGGGTGTCTGGCGTGAGGAGCTTGGCTCGCATCCCAGGCCCAGCCCCTGTTTCACCAGCGGCCCTAAGCGCAGGAGACGGGTGTCCTGCACATCCCCACTCCAGAGCTCGGGGGCCAGATCTGCCCTGGCGTAACCAGCTGTGGCCCCGTAAAGAGCAGAGAGAAGCGGTGTCTGCTCCCCACCCGCCCCTGCTCCTTGTGAGTCTGTTTGCCCTATGGACTAAGCTGGCAAGGGGCGAAGGGGGAGATGAGCCAGCTTGAAGGATCGGAGCGTCAGCCCCCTGGGTAGTCTGGGGCAGTTGTAGGAAAACCTCAGGAGGGCATGTGTGTGTGACTGTCCTCCGCCCCTCTCCCAGTGCCTGTCTGTGCAGATATTCCAGTGACGCCCGTGGACCTGTGCTCCAGGACAGAAATCTGCCTGGGGGCTTGGACGCTGCCTCACCCATCCATTCGGTGGCAGGACCCCATGCTGAGAAGCACCAGGAGACGGGCCATACCCAGCTGGTTTCGGGGCCCACCATCCTGTGCTGCATCTGCGCTTGAGACTCAGGGTGTAAAACTGCATCTCTGGTGGCCGGGGAGGGAGCAAACGGGGGCCTCGCTTCACCTCTGGCTCAGCTGTGTCCTGACTGTACTAATAACCCCCCAACGCTGACCCCCACTCCTCCCAGGGGCATGGTCCTATGGCACCAAGGGCTGATTTCCAAAGTGCTGCCCTGTCCCTGAAAATCCAGCCTCATGCACACTCCCAAGCCCCTTGCAGGACACGGCTGATAGTTACTAACTGACTGGGGCCCTTTGAATTCAGGCCTGTGGCTTGGTTCATGTAGGATTTGGCACGGCCAGACGGGCACGGGGGGCTGGCAGAGGCCCAACATACGACCCTCCCCCGATCTGCCCAAGCAGAAGGCAAACCCGAGATCTGGATTGCTGTTACACTCGACCCACCGGCAATTTCTGTTGCTCAATCAAGAAAGCTACCAGGGTGCGGCCACAGAGCCGTGCACCTCTCCAAACCTGTCCGTTGCATCCCCCTGGCTGTGACAAACTGCTGCTCAGACTTTGTCAGTTAGTTGTGTTTTATGAGCTCACAAGCCCAAAGTTTCCAAGCTCACTGGCCTCTTTGTTTTGTTTCAAACCAGCTCCTCAACCGTTCCACTCCCCAGCTCCACCTTGCATTCAAATGCTCCCCCCCGTTCTGAACCTGGCCCATCAATTGTTCAATGTCACGCAGAGCGCTGAGCTGGAGTCAGGAAATGCACAGGTTAAATCTGCTGTGGAGAGAACACGAACACGTCCATCCCCTCCCCAGCCTGCAGTTTAAAAAAAACAAACCACCAAAAACCAGAAGTGGCAGGAAACTGAAGATCTGGTTCTATTTTCAGCACATGTTCTGTCAAGAGACCATCTCCCCTCCCTGCTTGGGGCAGAATTTTCCTGCCACCCCTCCCGCGATGGTGTTTGTGGAATCGCTCTGGACTCTGTAACCCAGATGTGGGGGGCAAAGCCACCAGCTCACAGGCCTGGGGGTGCAAAGGGCTGATGGGGGCGAGGGTTTGCTAGCTCTGAGGTGCGTGTGTGTGGCCTCAGGTCAGCAAAGCATTTAGTGACGGGCTTCCGTCTCCCTCCTGCTCCAGCCAAGTCTTTCAGCTCGCGCTGGTGCCACAGCCGGGGCTGCGGCTGGGCAATCGGTAGTTCCTCCCCAGCGGTTGGAGAAAGTTGTTTCAATCAGCCGTGTCCTGGGCTGGAGTTGCCTGTGCTGCGTGTTGGAGCTGTGACGTGCTGCACGGTGCATCACCTGGCTCGCTCTGTTCCCTGTGCCGTTCGGCCTTCGTACGCAGGCCCGTACCGGGAAATGTGTGGGTCCCTGCTCCTGTCCCCTCCAGAAACTGATTCTGCCCCTTCCCCCGGCCCGGTGGGGCCTTAACCCAATGAAAACTGAAGCCTCCCAGTGGAGTGGGTGGGTTTTCTTTGCTCTCCCTTCCTCCCGTCCCTCCACTGAGAACTGACGCAACGTCCGGAGAATAAATGAGTGTTCTTTATAACAAGTGTCCTGCAGCTTGGCTGGCGGGGGAGAGTTTCCTGGGCATAGCTCCAGGCGATGGGAGGGGGACGGCCTATCATGGATGGCTCTGTCATGCGTAGGGTTGTCAGGTGTCCGGATTTCGACCCAGTCAAAAAGGGACCTGGCAGCTCCGGGCAGTGCCACCGACCAGGCCATTAAAGTTTGGTCGGTGCCGCAGGCAGGCTTCCTACTTGGCTCCACGCGAGTCCTGGGAAGCTGCTGGCATCTCCCTCCGGCTCCTAGGCGGAGGGATGGCCATGGGGGCTCTGTGCGCTGCCCCCGCCCCCACCGCCAGCTCAGCTGCTCCCATTGGCCAGGAACTGCGGCCAATGGGAACTGAGGGGGTGGTGTGAGAGCCACGTGTTCGCACCTCAGCACAGGAGCTGGAGAGAGATGCTGAAAGTTTCCTGGGAGCCGCCTGAGGTTAGCACCGCCCAGAGCCTGCACCCCCTCCTGCACCCCAAACCCTGGCCCCACCCCAGAGCCCGCAACCCCAGCCAGAGCCCTCACCCCCTCCCTGCACCCCAACCCCCTGCCCCAGCCCAGAACCCCCTCCTGCACTCCCAGCTGGAGCCCTCCCCTTCCCTGCATCCCAACCTCTTGCCCCATCACAGATCCCCCTCCTGCACCCTGAACCCACCCCAGAGCCTGCATCCCCAGCTCAGAACCCGTGCCCCCTCCCACACCCTAACCCCCTTCCCCAGCTCAACTCCCTCTCCTTCACTCTGAACCCCTTAACTCTGGCCCCACCCCAGAGCCCGTACCCGCAGCAGGAGCCCACATCGCCTCTCCCCCTCACCCCCCAGCCCGGTGAAAATGAGCGAGGGTGGGGGAGAGCAAGCGATGGAGGGAGGGAGATGGAATGAGCAGGAGCGGGGCCTTGGAAAGGGGGTGGGGCAAGGGTGTTGGGTTTTCTGCAACTAGAAAGTTGGCAACTCGCGTTGCGGGGTGCATGCTTGGGGGGCGGGGGGGGGAGGTGTGTGCTTGTCGTAGTGTATCAGGAATCAGGGCCTGGGTCTGGCAGCTGACCAGCCTGTTCAGCCAGCCCCCCTGGCCTCTGGGATGCTTCGGGAGACCCACTGCTATGCCTAGGGGCAGCACTCGCCCGCCCGCCGCTCCACACGGACTCCTGTGCCTGCCGTGTTCCCAGCCCCGCCACCGTGCCTGGCGCTTGGCTCTGTTCCTGGCCTCTCCCTCCTGCTCTGACCACTAGGCCGGGGCGCCCACGCCCCCTTCGCGACACTGTCACTGGAGGGGATTCCCGCCATTTAAGGATTCCCCACCTAAAAGATCTTGACAGCTCGGTAATGAGGGGACCACCAGGATGCCTGCAGGCCATCTGGCAGTGATTCGAGCCGGATCCTTGGGGGGTGTGAATTGGTGCAGCTCCGAGTTCAGGATCTGGCCCTTACGCCCCTCGGCTGAAGGAATTTTAGCCTCATCAGGATGCCTGGGTCCCCGACTGGGCTGTGGCCGTGGCCAGGTTACAATTCATGGAGTATTCGGTTCTGCTTGTGGGGAAGGTGTGGGGAAGGGGGTTACATCACAGCTTAATTAAAGTGTGGGGGGAAGCGTTGGGCGATTGGCCTCTCGGAGTGCAGTCGCTGGGGGGAAACCTGCGTGGGGCTCCTGTCGTCACTGGAGAGGTGCACGGAGAGATTGGGATTGCCAGACGCTCCCCAGCCAGGGGGCTGAGGGTTGTGCCTAGCCCAGGCCGGGGGGTGGTTCCTGAGATGGCAATGAGCCGGCCTCGAGGGGGAAGGATGGGATCGTCCATCTCTCCCGGCTGCGCTGGGCCGAATGGCCCCGGAGCAGCGCTACACCCATCCCGGGGAGGCGGCCAGCCTGCAAGATGGCGGCAGACATTGGCGCTGTCACTGGTTGGGCCGTTCCAGTGACTGTCATTGGAGCCCCTCCGCTGACCCCAGTGGGCCCGGGCCCGGGCGCTAACCTCCCGTTGTCCGCCCCGGCCTCGGTAGAGCCGGCTGGGAAACCGTGCGCCCCCTGCACAGCGCTGTGACGCTGCAGGCCCACGCCAGCCCGCTTCAGTTTGCGCTGGATTTTCTCCACCCAGCGGCGGTTGGCTGGGCAAGGCCGGGCGTGTGTGCTCGTAAAACCGCGTGTGTGCTCGTGAAACTCCCTGTGTGCGTTAAGGCTTGGCTCGTAAAATCCCGTCCCTGGTATAGCAGCAATAAGAGTTACGACTATGGCAAGTGACTACACAAAGGAGTGACAAACCAGCCGGCTGTGGGCGTAGTCAGCCAGCCAAGGTCAGTGGCGCTCAGAGGGGGGAGGCTGCTCGGGAGAACTGGCTTGTGGGACAGTAGAATGCAGCTGTGAGCCACTGGTTGAAGCGCTGGGTAGGCCGCTAGGACGCCTGGGTTCTCTTCCTGTCTCTGCCACTGACTCAGTGGGACCTTGGGCACAAGGCCCAGTGCCTCGATTTCCCCATCAAGCCGATGGGGACAGCACCTTAGGAAAGGATGTGGTGATTGCTGAGCTGCGATGTGCCGGGCTGGGACTCTGGGGATCTGGGTTCCAGTCCCAGCTCTGCCACTGACCTCCTGGGTAGTGTGAGGCCAGTCACATCCCTTGGTGCCTCAGTTTCCCCTCCTGCCCTTTGCCTAGTAGGCTGTGAGCTCTGTGAGGCAGGGACTATCTGGGCAGCACCTCGGGGAGCCTGTTCCTGCACGAGAGGCGGCTCCCGCTCAGTCAGTGCTTGCCAACTCTGCCAGGATGGGGAGAGTTGGCCTGGGCCTGGGAGCCAAGGGAATGGTGGGTTTTGCCCCACATCCCTTCACAGCTTCCCTGGCTCCTAACCGCTAATTGCCTGGAACGAGGCAGCGGGCGGCTCGGCTTCAAGACAATGTGTGGAGCGAAGCCAAAAGAACAACCACGCCGGGGCTGGGGCATTTCCCCGTCCGGAGAGGGGCAGAGCCCGGCAGGCCAGGGGACGGTGGGCAGCACCCCCGTAGGCTGCTGCAGCCTTGGGAGCAGGTGCTGAGGAGTGGGATGGGAAGGTCTGACTGCGGGTTCCTCCTGGCTTCACTCCTGCTGCTGGGGCGCTGTCAAGCAGCCATTAGCTATCAGCCTGCTGGCCCCGCAGCTTCCCCCGGACAGCGGGAGGCCGTTCAGGGGTCACCCAAGGCGCCCGCTTCATCCCTAAAGTAAAGCAACAACGTGGCTGTGTGAGCGTGCCCTGGGGAGCTGGGTGGGAGGATCCCAAACTGCATTCGGGCAGCAGGGACCCACCCGGGCCGCTGGAGTCCGTCACGGGGCAGGTCCTTCCAGTGCCAGCCCGCAGGGTACAGAACAAGCTGTGGAAGTCGGCGGAAAGGACACGGCATGACACTAAATCTCAGAGCAGCTGGCCCTGCTCGGAGGGAACAGCCTGTCTTGGAATCGCACATGGCAGCATGAGAGCATGGGACTGAGGATCAGGACTCCTGGGTTCCATTTCTGTCTTTCACCCGGCCTCAGGTTTCACCTCTCTCTGCCTCAGATTGCCTGCCTGCGGGAGGGAGGGTGTGTGTTGTGTGTGTGTGTCTCTCTCTCTCTCTCTCTCTCTCTCTCTCTCTCTCACACACACACACACACACCCCGCTTTGAAATCTTTGAGGGAGGTGATGATGTGATATAATATCAATTGTGTGTGTGTAGAAATCCCTGCAAATCAGGAAAAAACCCTCTGCAATTTCTAAGCCAAGACCGAGGGGGGCGGTGGATTCTCCGTTGCTGGCCATTTTAAACTCAAGCCTGGACATTTTCTACCCAATCTGCCCGAGGAATGATTTGGGGGCAGCCCCGTGGCATGCCGGGAGGGCGTCGAGGGGCAGCACGACTCCCTGGTGAAGCTGTGCGGCAGGGAATTCATTCGGCCCGTCATCGCCTTGTGCAGGGGATCCTGGGGGAAGTTCTACTGGCACGCCGGGCAGGAGCCAGGCAAAGCCCGCGGTAAGTGGGGGCCGGTTCCTACTGCGGCTTCGCCAGCCCTGACGTGAACCCTGCTGCTGTGGGCCGTGCGCTCCCTGGGGCGAGGAGGGGACAGCCCCAGCAGGCCAGCCCATGACCCGTCATTCCAGCATTTAAGAGGCTACGGGGCTGGGGGCAGGGATGGTGTCTCCCAAGCTCCCACTGCAGCCCAGGGAAGTGGTGTTGTGGGAGCCAGATTTGGTCCCTAGATCCTTCCTCTGCGCTGGCTGGCGCTGGCCTGGGTTGGTAACAGGATGTTGTTCAGAGTCACCGAGGAGAGCAAAGGGGGTGAGGGATAGAGGACCCCCCGCCCCCATGTGCATGTATCCTAGCCCCCGTTTGCTCTGCTGGCCTCAGAGCAAAGTAGGACCGAGGGGGGAGTGAGGGCAGCGAAACCCCCAAACGTGGAATTTTGAAAGCTTTCAGGGGGGGTTGAAACCTCCAATGCCGACAGCCCCTTGGAATGAGATGGAGCGACATGGTCTGAAAGGGCCTGGTGGGAAAACGTGATCAAAACCCAGCCCTTTTCCCGTGGAAAAAGCTCATTTGTGACGAACGCCCCCCCACCCCGCTCAAAGGGCAAAGGCTCCAGTCAGTGGCTCGGGCAGAAAGAACCATGTGGGACAATGGCCTCGGGTGCTCTGGGTGCCAGGGTCGGGTGCTAAGGGCCAGGGAGCTGAGTCCATCCCTAGCTAGCCACGCTGGGCCTTGGTAGTCAGGGCAACTCTACGGAGAGCCGCGCCCTCCCTCAGCTGCTGGGCAGCAGAACCCCCCCGTGTTATCCACGTAACTACAGAGCCGCTGCCAAATTGGTTTGTAAAGGAAGGTTCATTAGTGATCCCTGTCGCCTTAGCTTGATGAGTGCCCCCACCCGCCCTCCAGCTCCAGGTCCAGGTGTGGGGGCACTGCTGGAGAGGATGAGCCCTGCTCCGGGGGCGTGTAAAGGTGGTGATGTGCTAACCCTGCTCAGTTTTCCCCCGTCCTCCGGCCTGAGCAGAGAAGCCCCATGTGGGGCAGCCGGACTCTGATCCCTCTGCCACCCACAGACCCACCTCCTCTCCCTCTCTCAGCTAAACCGCTCGGGTGACTGAACAGTGACCAGTTCTCCGCTGGCCCCGAGGCGGCTGAAGGCCCTGGCTCCCCCGAGGGCACCAGACACCCTGCCCGGGCGGCCGCGCTAGGTCCCCAGGAGAACCCCGGAGCTGCCCTCCTGCCCCGGCATGACATCGGCCCAGCTGCACCCGGGGCTGGACCAGAGCGGAGATGATGCCCTTCTGTTAGGAGCCAGCTGTCCAAGGGGGTTTCTCGCCCGCCTGAGTGCCGATGAAAGCCTGGAACTGGGACTCTCAAAGGCTCAGGAACCGGAGACCAATAAACAGATGCCAAAAGTAAATTTTTTTTTAAACCCACCTTG